AGGATTCTCAAGAGTGAGTTCACAAAGACATTGGCTTTGGCGGTAACCATATCTATGTGGTACTTAAAGGTGTTGTTGTTATCCCAGATAATGCCGAAGTATTTAAACCTATCCACCAATGTGAATGAGAAATTTTGTAAATTAATTGTTTCTCTGCTTTTGTAATTGCGTCCCGCGAGGATCATCGTGAAGGTCTTGTGGGTGGCAATTTTAAGACCTTTATCGACCATCCATTTGTATGTAGTGTTAAATGCGAGTGATAGTGCTCTCACAGTGTCAGGCCATTTGTATGCCTCCACTAAAATAAGCAGGTCGTCGGCGTACGCTACAGGAGTGGTGTTTTTATTTATAATCAGGTTCAATAGATCATCGTATACCCAATTCCATGCGATGGGACCAATAACGGAGCCCTGAGGGACCCCGTTAACAGTTCTCCTACAGATTTTATTACTAAAGTTTTCCACATAAATGTATCTCTTGTGAAGGAAGTCAACTAATAATCCAGCGAACCACAACGGTAACTTTCTTTTAACTAATTGTTCTGCGATACTATCGAGCGTTATTGTGTTGAATGCGTTGGTTACATCTATGGACATGGCTGCAAGTATTTTACTGTTTTTGGTGCAGAAGGAGTAGGTGGATGCTACTTCTTCCAGGGCGTCCAGAGTGGATCTAGCTTTAGTGTAACCGTATTGGTGAGTGCTACAGATTGACCCAGGATAGTTGGTGAGTAAAGAGATCATTAGCCTTTCCCATACTTTGGATACAGCGGAAGTTAGTGATATGGGGCGGTAATCATTTTTTTTCTTAGATTTCGGGATGAGTACCACTTTGGCGGTCTTCCAGGCAGGAGGTACAGACCCTATCCGGACAATACTTGTGAACATATCCTGGAAAAAGGTAGGGTATATTTTGTGAGTATGTTTAATCATTCTGTTTGTAATACAATCGGGTCTTGGTGCTTTTTTATCTGATAGATTGCGGATGATGTTCGATAGGTCTTCACCATTCAGGAGATTCAAGTCTGGTGTGGTATCTAGGCAGGCGTCAGGCGTTATATGTTTTTCTATAATTGGGTTGGGTGCATAACTGCCGATGGTGTTGGTGGTTGATTCGGTCAGGATATCAGGTAAGTCACCGATATGTGTGCAGTTGGGAAACAACTTGTCGATTACAGCTTCGACAGTTTGAGAATCCTCATAATAAGGATCCAATGTTTTCCAACGATGAATATCTTTAACTAGAGACAGGTATGGTCTACCCCAAGGGTCGTCTTCCAGTGTGCCTATGAAAGTCCTCCAGGCTTTCTCCTTACTGTTGAGAATGGTGTGTTTATAATCCTTGCGCAGTTGCTTGTATTGCGCCTTTAAGGTTGGGGTCTCAGGGGAATCCTTCTTGATGGCCCTGGATAAACGCCTTCTTGCTGCGTTGGCAATTTTTCTCAAGAAATCGTCAGATTACAAAAACCGAATTCAGGAATTAGAAACGCGATTAACCGAGCGAGTAGAAACCCAGGTAGGGATCGATGAGGTATATGAACGACTTAGCGAACACAAGCGCGAAATGCGGGATTGGCGACGCGAGCTCGAAACGCGAGGGGAACGTGAAGGTCAAGAAAACGCGGAACGATGCGCCGAAGTCGGTAGAATTAGGCTAGGAAACGAGGCGTTACTAAAAAAGTTTAACGAGTTCGAACACGAAATGAGATGCTGGAGGCGCGAAAGTGAGACGAGGGGCGAGCGTAGTCGTCAGGACCGTGATAGGCTCGTAACCGAAAATCGTAAAGAAGTAAATATTAGAAGGATCAGATATTAAATCTCTGAATTCTTTTCTTTGCCTGCTCTTTGCTACTCGTGAGCCCTGAAGACCGTAACTTAACAAGATGACAACCCCGACAATTCCAGACACTGTTTGATCCATCGAGACTGAATTAGAAAAGGCGTTGCCTACTGCACCAAAACCGGGGGCTGTTCAGAAAGGAGAGTGGTCAGAGGAAGAATTAGATCAGTTCTGTGAACGTTTTAAATTTCCAGCAGCTATTAGAAACGAGCTGGCACAAAAAGCCACCGTTGTTCATTTTTATAGATATTATTTCAATGGGATTTTACCTTCCGGATGCTCAGCAAATCAAGTGATTCTTCCTATGATTGCAAGCTTGCAATGTTCCAGAGAAGACGGGACAACCGACTTTTTCTTCCCAAACGCATGTTTTGCTAATCAAAGTTTTCTCAGCCTCCCTCAGGCAGAAGGAGCTGTTGACCTATCTGATATCAAAGATTATAAAGCAGTCGATTGGACCCCGGCTGAGGGACAAAATAAGGCAGACCAACGAGTCTTTGATTTATATTATGCTTTACAGGATACTGACACAAAAATGTTTCGAAAATCAGTGATTGATATTGTGAAAAATTGGAATACCTCAACTGCAAGGCAGTAGTGAGAAGTACAATTATTTCAGCGTTAAGAAGTTCGCACCAAACTTTTACAGACCAAGGTCTTTGTTTATTCACTTCCCGCAGCCACTGTGGATTTTCTATTGACCAATCATGCATATTATGACGATTGACTTGGCCACAGTTTGAAAATGTGGCTTCATCCATAAACAAAACTTTAGACAAAAACAGCTCATCACTCTGTAATTTCTGCAGACCCCATTCACAAAAATTTACACGGTTTTGAAACTCATTCCCATGTAATTCTAGTAGTGCTTATTAACGAACGAAAACTTTATTCTTAAAATGTACTCAGGTACAACGCATAACACTTATAGACGCTATCCTTTCTGTCGTCTATTGTTTGTCAGCCTATCTTCTTAAACCTAGAGAGACGTGCTCCTGTCGAGCGCGTACGAGCCGCGCCCGTCTGGTGGCGTTCTGTTCCTCTGCGCCTGATTGGTGGGCTTGTCCTATGCGCCACAGTCCCAATTGGTCCCAATGATCGATTATGTGTTTTCGCTAGCGTCCGATTGTTTACATCAGCGCTTCGATCGATTCGGAGTTGGCCCCAAAGGAGTCTCCTCCCTCCGATGCCTGCCTAGAGAAACATGGCAAAGAGGACCTCACCTACAAGGTAGAATATGCTTGTGTAATGTACGCACGGAAGGCATGGAGAGGGTAAGCGCTCGCGTGGTTATCCCACATTCTGGCTTCACTGAAAGAGGCGACAGTGTTGCCATATATTTAAATTGCAAGGGGTCACTTGGGGTCACTGTTTATACTCTAACTCTGTCAGCTAAACTTGCTCTAAGATAAGCTCTATCTAAACAAATATTACTAAATAGATTCTGCTGTTGCTGCTGTAGACTGTAGACCTGATGCGCAGACAGAAATGGGTAAATACGTGAATTTTTTATTTTATATGTGACACATGTCTTAAATGTCGTAAATGTCGTATGTCTAGAATAAAAATATCTTTAACGTATGTCTAACCTATAAAACGTTTTTCGTATAGGTTAGAAAGAAGTGTCAATTTATTAACAATTATAATTCTAATTAAAAACAATTAAATTAAATTCGGTAACATTGATGAAAAACGGTAATGGATGTTAAAAGGTTCCAGAAAATTGATACAGAATAATAAATAAAATTTTTTTAGATTGAAAATTATGTTAATAAAAAGTTTTTTTTTTATTTAGGACAAAGATTGATTAGTTATTTGAAAAAATTTTTTTTATGTAATATCCCTTTTAGCTTAATTGATGCAGAACATTTTAAAGCATTTATAAATGCACTGAATGATCAATATTAGCTTCCTACAAGGAAGGCACTGGCAACAACAATTTTTGATACACAATATGATGAACTTGTTAATTCTACAAGGTAAGATGAACCACAAGATGGAGTATTACTAATTGATTGGTGGAAAAATTCACCAGTTTATAATAAAACTGTTGTGGCCATGGCTAATGTTACATCTTACAAGTGGCCAAAAACCTTTCTTAAACTCTTTGAATTTTAGTACAATAAGAGAAACTGGAGAGGTTCTGAGTGAAGGTGTAAAATAATTAATTTCATTACTACTGATAGCTTTACATTTATTGATATTAATATTCTTTTCATAAACGTTTTTAGTCTCATCTGTACACATGGTACTGCAAGTTATCATACTTACATCAGATGTATTGTTATTAATCTTATCATAAACATATTTATTTATTTGATTGAGAAATTTTAATTTTTCTTATTGCAGACTCATTTATGCATTCTAATCTCTTCACAGCTGTATTTCTAATATCACAGTTGCACACTGCAAAATACTACATTCTTGCCTTTTTTATTCTTTCTCCCACTGAACCCCAAAGGTTCATATTGATTATGTTCTTTTCTACCACCTATTTTTTGGCACTCACAAATAATTTATATACCTGTATAATAAAAGTTAATTTAAGGTTATATTTCGTGTTTACTATTACACTTACATACATTTTTAACATTACATACGAAAAGGAGGTATGTATTGTTTTTACTTATTTTTAAAAGGGTTTTCTACTTTAATTTGTTTAAACGTTGAAATAATTAATATTTCTATTTATGACATATACGTAAGATTTGCTCTGTTTCTGACGTTAATCTATTGTTACATTATACTGCAGACCTGCTGTGTTTCTGCTGCGAATCGACTACAGACAATGTCAGACAGCCATGACGGCAGTTGACAGTCAGACTGCTGCGACAGATGTACATGAATTTGACATACTGCTTGATGGCCTGATCTTCCATTTCCATATCAGATGCGTGCACCTGACGTCAGTTTGTTCATAGGGGAAGTTACATACATATTTAGTATCATATGATTTTCTATTCTACGTATTAATGAACGTACTTTTTTTATATATCTTTGAACTTATTCTTTCATATTGTAACATACGAGAACTTTGTAATTGGTAGTATAAAATAGCGTCTGCTTCTGATATTAGCGATAACTTCACGCTGACACAAATAATAACCAATATTAACGACGCGTACCAACTGTCGGAGTCGTTTGTTGGTTTTCATTATTTTTAAAGTTTTTGTAATGCTGTTGAAATACAATCTTCCAGGATAAATTGTAACGCGTGTGAATTTATCTCCTAACTTTATTGTAAATCGTAGTTTGTGTTTCGCAGAACTTCAATTTCCACCTCAATGTACCAAGCTCTTTGTGAACGATACAACGAGTTCATATTAATCTGAAGTGAGTGGAATTGTCATTTAAGTACTGTGCGCGCGTTAGATTTAGAAACAGGAGAACAGAATATCAGTAATCGATGAAAAGTAACAAGTGGGTAGAGAAATACTAAAAGAGAACGACAGAGATAAATTAGAGAAAAATGCGTTGCTACTGATAAGTGCGTGTGCGTGTGCGTGTGCGTGCGACTCCATGACTTTTGTGTCTGCTGAACACTGCTGAACAAGACAGTGGATCACATAGCTGTCATATTCATAATGGATTTTAAATAAACATTGACGGTAGAAAGTGTTTAGTGCCAATATTCTAGCATATATACAGTCGCGTTGGAATTGGTGTATGCTGAAGTTTATTATTTTATTAAACAGGAATATTTACAATAAAATTGATGACCGTCTATATACATATATACATACACCATTCACATATTTACTAATTCTGTACAATTATTCTAATGTAAGAAATTAAATCTTTTTAGATGTATGAGTATCTGACATAAAGTTGGCACTATATTGTGATTATACATTCATCAATAACATATCATTTATAATTGTAATCTAAAAATTTAACAATATGTGTGGTTAAATCTTACTATATGTATGGAATCTTAAGATTACAATTAGAAATTAATAACACTTTCAAAAATCTTGGGCATATATTTTAACGCATTCATAATTTTCCTAATGCATTAATTTATTCAACTACATAATTAAATATTCTTGTGTACTATAATTTTAAATTAAAGAAATAGAATAACAGAAAATTGATGTTATATTAACTTCTAAAAAATATTATTTCTTTAGAATATTTATGTAAAACAATATGAAGTCACTCATTAAGATGTTAATACAACAATTTTAAAAGTACAAACTTTCACTATATGTATGAAATTTCATCAATATAATACGTATTTATTTACAGATGACAGAAAATGCTTTTTAACCTACTTAACAACAGTAAATGTGTACATTTATTCTTTTGCTTTTTGGTAAATTGAACAATTATTTCTTTTTTTGTATTGCTCATTCACTTTACATTTGTTAATATATTCTTTCACGTTATAAAGATTTTAACTTTTCTGATTCACTAGACTCAAATTCTTATATTTCACCAAGAAAGTCTATACATTTAATAGAATGTATGGGATTAAAATTAATTTATAAAACTGCATTGAGTTGTCCTTTAGATTTAAATGAAGCAAACATTCTTAAACTTTGATCGTGCACGTCACGTAAATACCGACTGATTGCGACTGATACCGACACGACTGGGACATATGGTGCGCACGCGCCTGTGCACACATATACAAGTATCTAAGGTTTCTCATGTATTTGTAGGATCTATGAAAAAAGATTCACGTGGGGGACCTGTTTAGTATTCGGAACTTGGATTTCGTCTGTGCAAACCGTGCAAATCAAAGGTGTTATATACAGCGCTATCAAGCCCTACTGTTCTCTCTTATTTTTCGGGGTCCTTCCTCAGGCTGGATTCGACCATAGGAGGCGCTCAATAATCAGTACGAAGAAGAGCGTACAAGTGAAACGATGTTGTAACTAACGGCCAAAATGGAAGAGCAAAGCGTTCACAGCAGTATCAGTGATATAAATAGTGAAGAGGCAGTTAGAAGTGAACGTAAGTTCGTCAGCATTGTCACTTGTAATATTACACTTGCGGGTTGATGTTCGTTATTAGTTGATACGTACAAGTTAGCCAGCGGAACGAACTAACCCTACCTTACTCTATCAAAACTCACGCGATACTACTCGTGTCCTTATATCTGTCATCTATCCTCAGTCACGTATAAATTAAGGTATAATATTCGTTAACTTCACCATATATTCTCGTATTATGATTTGAACTTTACGCGGGAGGAATGTCAACGGTTTCTTATAAATACGGCCTTGACTTATTCTCCAAAATTACATTTATAAGCGTTTTTGAAGTCCACTGTATTCGTATTTCGTGTTTACATTATCTTTAACCTTTATTTTAGTATCATTTAAATATATATATTTTTCATAAAATATAATGAGTATCTGTGTAATTTTTATAAGAAATTGTTGAGCGCATTAACTTTCAGTATCAATTAATCATCAACTAATGATTAAATGTAAAATGTCACATTACATACTTAGAGCTAATATATCTTTGTTTTGTTTTGGCTTAGTCATTATTTATGAGGTATTTAAATGGAAAAGTAGAAGGTACAAAGGGCTCTTTGATATCTATTATGTGAAGTGAGATTAGGTATGTAGGAATAGGTATTTACTGGAGCCTTTGTTGGTGAGTAGGAACGGATTTTGTTTAGTGTCATTCTAAAATTAGGCCCTTCTAATTATGACAAAATGTTATTTGTACTTTTATAAAATATATTTATACTATTGTAAAGAATATTATTTATACTGTTATAAAATTTAGCTGATGATTCCTTTATTTATGAGGAATGAGTTAAGTACACACATTTTAAAGTATTGTTCTTCATGAAAATGTTTAAAAAACATGATTTAAACATGCCTTCACGAGCAAACTCTTCTCTTGCTAGGAGAAAAAGTGGCGAAGGGGAAGGGCCTCCCATCATTTGATAAATTTATTTTAAGTACTGAGATAAATGTTAAATCTAACATTAATTTAACATAAATTTCAGTAATTGCTGATACCAAGTAATAGGAGGCTCTTACACCTGCATTGCTTTTTCCCGTAGAGGAAGCCGAGTTTGCTTGTCGGTGTACCTATTAATAAAATAACTTACTGTATTTAATAAGGGAAACGCCTAGTTACTAATTAATTATTGTTAATATTTTAGCTGTGATTATTCCACGTAAAAAGAGAATATGCTTAATTGGTGCAGCTGGGAATGATCCTGCACTTGGTGCTACTGCACAGCAGTTTAGCGTACCTGTCCTTAAATCAGAAACTGGTTTAGAATATATAGAAGATACAACATATTGTACTTACTTTATATTAAAGCAGTTTGAGGGACCTGAATATGATGTTCTTCATAAAAGTGCTCATAGGTTTGTTACAATTTGTTTTATATAGCTCCTCAATTATTATAGAGTGGTCAGAAGAATCTAACTTCTGGTTGATTTAATGTAATAAATTATAGAATATTGGGACCGACGGCTCTTCTGCAGTTAGCAGAAAGAAAGGACTCACTACCTAGTATTAGCAGACCAATGTATACACAAGCTATGGTAGGCACAGTAGTAGTATTTACCGGATTTAGGAAAAAGGAAGAACTGGTTAGTGTTAAATTATTGCTTTACATTTAGTACAGTAGAAAATGAATCGTTGTATGAATCACTTTCTTGATGTTAATCTTACCTTGGTAGACCAAATTGATCAACATGATTCATAATATGGGTGGAAGTATTAGAAAAGAAATGGGTGCAAAAGTGACGCATCTCATTGCTAATTGTTGCGGTGGAGATAAGTACAGATATGCTGTGACCTTTCGTGTGCCAATAATGTCAATGGATTGGGTGACAGCTTTATGGAATGCCAAAGACGATATTTCCAATTATGGAAATAATGAAGAACTGGTAATAGAGTACTTTTCTTCATAATAATTATAATGTTCTTGCTAATTCCATATAAGTACATAATGAAAATAAAAATTGAGGATATATCCAGCAAACGTGTTCTGAACTTCAAAATTCTATTATTATATTGTAAAAGATATTTTGTTACATAGATCACAACTTATAAGCTGAAGCCATTTTTTGGTGCAAAAGTATGTTTCTTTGGTTTCCCTGAAGAAGAGAAACGTCACATGTGTGAAGTTTTACAACAACAAGGTGGTAAATCGACAGAAATTGATGATCCAAATTGTACGCATGTGGTAAGTTTAGAAAAAACCATTTCACGTCTATCATGTTTTATAGTCTGCAACACAAGCATCGTACACATAAACATTTTATATACAAAAACTTAATAAATTCTTTAGGTAACAGATGTAAAAAGTCGTGAATACAAGAAATGCAACGATACTTTTGACATGCTACCATTCGCTAAAGATCCTAATTATATTCCATTCCATTACATACAAGCAAAACCATTTTCTTTTACTTTCTACAATCCATACACAAACACTATTCCTAACCCAAACAAAATGAATTCATCACAGACCTGTAATATTAGTCACATGAATATACCAAAAAAATTAAATACCAGATATTTATCACATTGGTTGTGTTCTTCTGTGCCACAATACTTAGAGTACAAAAGAAACAAATTTAATTACTCTATCGCAGATGATATTAGTCAGGACTCAGCTATTTGTATGGATGATAATTTGTACGATTATCCGAATTTACCAGATGATTCTTACATTTCTGAATTCTCTATACCACAAACTGATTCAGGCATTGATATGCTCACAACAAGGCATCCATATAACATAATAAAAACAAATAGCTCAAGAGAATTAGGACAAACTAATTTCCCTATAACTTCTACTATGTCAAATAATATGTCTGATTTATCAAATGAAAATACGGTCAATGAAAATATGATGTATGCTCAATCAAGGTCATATAATTTCAAGTCTTCTACATTGTCTAAAAAAAGAATTACTCCACATACAAACAAACAATCTTTTGATAGTGAAGCACATTTGTTGAAACCTTGTAAAAATACACATTGTACTCAGAATTCTTTCTTTTTTAATAGGAAAATTATAACTCCCAGGCGATACATTAAGTGGCGAAGAGTGAAGTCTTGCATTGCAATTCATAAAATTAATTCCCCAGACAAATTTAAATTTAAAAAAATTTATTCTCATCCTAATTTATTAAGGAGATATGACTCTGAGCTTAACGATTCTCTCTTACGCAATACTCTTATACCTGTGACAAAAAGTAGAAGTTTCTTGAGTACATGTAAATTGAATTCATCCATTTCGTCAAAGCTGAGTTACATAAATTTCTCTCCAATGTTTAAGCAATACAAACTTGTTAGTCCATCTCATAAAATTTCAGAAAATCATAAACAAAAGTATACTCTTTTACCCAGTCCTCTTCCTGTACCTGCTAAGGTAGCGAAGTTATCAAATACTGAATGTTGTTCAAGAAGTACTTTTACATCATGTGGGAAAGATTCGAGTCTTATTTCTAAAACTTGCACTTCGAAAGATGATTATGTGACACAGGAGAAACTGGAGGACAGACAATTATTCTCGGTACCTTTACTTTATTAATGGGTATTATAGGTTGTGGAAACTCAAATTAATTTGTTGTTTAATTAGTTAATTGTTAAATTGCATATAAAGAGATCATAAAACTTAAGTTGTAGAGTGGGAGTATCAGGTTATTACATGGAAATGTAGAAACAAAATGTTTATTTTTAAGTGTAATTGTTATGTGAAGGTTATATATCATCATGTCTTTGTGATATTATCTTTGTGTTGTACCAAATTGTATATCTGTAGATATACCATTGGATACTTGTATGCATACTACCTGATTATTCATGAATGTTAACACTTTACCTTTATAAATATATATTGTGCCCCTGTAGTTTTTTAATCGTATTAGCATAAAAGAAACTAAGAAATTTCTGTGTTTACTGTATGTATCACTCTGAAAAATTTTAATTACTATGAAATTATAAGTTATTGTTATTTTAGGTTGTGGATGAATCAAATGTAAATGCGTTGCCAGATTTAGCTTCTGTTAGAGCTCACATTGTGAAAGCTGAATGGTTTTGGACATCTGTGCAAAATGAAGGTGCAGCTGATGAAAAGGAGTATTTATTTGAAGATGTAAGTTTATTAAGATTATTACATAAATTTAGCGTTTAATAGTTTATTTTATTATTTGGTCCAGTATTTGGAATCTGTTCTATCGCCTGCAATATCTGCTAGACGTGATAGTCAACCAACAACGACTCCGAGTACAGCATCTACAAGACGAAAACGTAAACGTTTGGCAGAAACTTTATCTAGTCTGGTTCAAAATGGTACCGATTCACCAGCTCTGCATAAAAGGCGATCCAGCATCAGTGATGCAGGACTTTTGAGTGTTAGTGGAAGTTTTCTTGACTGCACAGCAAGCCCAGATAAGCCATTACTTGATGGTTAGTTATTTAGTGTTAAGATACGATTATAATTTCTTATATTTTACTTCTTTTTGAAAGTCTGTCGCTTCTTGTATATCATTCCTTATAATCAGTAGTTGTCACGCATAAACTGATACATGATAACCGTTTCAATCTTTTTAACTATCCAATTACATCTTCCCTTCCTGCGTGGTTCATTTGTTTTGTTTGATAAAGTGGTATATTCTGTGTATTTACTTTGTTTAATATTATCACACTAACACCATACATAATCCAAATTTTTCAATTTAATATTGCTAACAATTAGTAAACGCTTATATGAACCATATGAAGGGGAAGATAATAAAAAATCGAATTATTGATAACTATCAGATATTCCAGAAGTGGAAGCTGTTAATGTGGACAGCTCTAGGAAAAATTTGTCACCGCGTCATCAAGTTTTCTTAGAATTAGTACAAACAGAGTCAAATTATGTTGGCATTCTCAGTACAATTATGACAGTAAGTATATACCTTTGTCGTATTTTATATTGGATCAAAAACTGAATTGATACATTTGTTTCTTTCTAGTTGTTTAAGTCACCATTAGAAGATCTCATAGATACAAGCGGCGAGTTATTAAATGGTACTGAAGCTAAAATTATATTTGGTAATTTTCCACCCATTTATGAAGTCCATAAAAAAATGTTAGAAGAATTAAGGTATAGTGCAACACACTGGATGGAGGACATTAGTATAGGCAATATATTTTTGAAGTTTGCACCTGACCTAGTCAAGGCATATCCACCGTATGTCAACTTCTTCGAAAATACAAAAGAAATGCTCGACCAGTGTGATCAAAATAAACCTCGATTTCATGCCTTTCTGAAAATTTGCCAGACAAAACCCGAATGTGGTCGACAAAGCTTAAAGGAGTTACTGATTAAACCAGTACAACGGTTACCCAGTATTAGTTTATTATTAAATGGTAAGGGATTTAATTATCATTATACATTAATTATAATGATAATCAATTGCAATCATACTTTAGATACATATTTAAATATAAATAAATAAATATATATATGTATTATGTTTTATGTATTATATATTATGTATTATATATTATGTATTATATATTATAGATATCCTTAAACACACAAGTAAAAATAATCCAGATCATAGCGCACTGGAGTTATCAATTAGCAGTATTAAGGAAGTCATGACGTACATAAACGAAGATAAAAGAAAAACCGAGGGTCAATTAGTTATGTTTGACATTTTCAATGAGATTGATAACTGTCCGCCGCATTTAGTTTCTTCGCATCGGTCATTTATTGGTAAATGTGATGTGATGGAACTCAGTGAAGGTTTAAGTGGACGTGGTGATCATTTAGTTTTGTTCCTGTTTACCGATACACTCGAAATATGTAAGAAAAGATCAAAGGCCTTCAATTCGTTAAAAAGTCCCAATACAGCAAATGGATTGCATACAACAAAATTAAGTCAAGGGAAACCATATAAACATATTAAAATGTTATCACTTAGTACGATAAAAAAGGTTGTGGATATACGAGAAACTGACGGTATGTTAGTAACACACTGTATCATTGAACAATTTCATTTGAAAATCTTAGCTTCTTTTCTCTAATTACTTTATTGGAATACACTTTTTTTGTAGTCTTAATTAAATTTTGGTAATTCGTTTTTAGAAATAATGAACATGCAGTATGTGAAATTTAATATTGACTGGATCATTTGAAAAGTTCTTGAAATGAAGTATAGATGATATCAGTAGTTCCGAGAGTTTTAGTCCATCGAAGGTTTTATGTTGTATACAGCTGCTTGAACAAAAAGTGCTTTCATGACCTGTGCCGCATCTCCTGACAATTAATGAGAAGCGAATTCGAATGTAAGTTTCGCAAGTGTGTATAGAACGTTGGTCGGTAAAATTGGCATACCCATTGGTTCAAGTGCATTGATTTTAAAGAGAATAATATTGAAATATAGAAATGTTTTAAAAACAATATGAGTTGTCTTCCCATTCCACTCTGAAAACTTTTCAAATGACCCACGTATTTTTAAATATTACTTTGTTTAAAGATAACATGTAAGAAAGAATGTGCGTTGTTCATAAATTACACATCGATTGTACAGTTCAAGTATTATTCACTTATATACTTGTAGAATGTCATAAAGTATTCGCTCTAATGGTAAGAAGTAATCAAGAGTTGAAAGAGAAGCTGTTTTCATTTACAATTACGGATGAAGAAGTAAATAAAACGAATTATTTACGGACTTTGTGTAGGCAAATGGCTAATACAGTATGTAAAGCTGATGCGGTAAGTTTGAAATTTATTTCTATACATACTTTAACCTTAGTAAATCTGTTACCAATACTCATATTATTCAGTTACAAAACTTGTTAGTCACAACAGTTTTGTCCTTTTCAATTTTTAGGATACGTTCCTGATAAGTCTTGATTCGCATCAACTTGAAATTGACACAAGTGATGTAGCATTAGGAACTTTAAGTAAAGCATTTAAGTAAGTAGTCAGAATTAAACTTGAAATCGCTGTACATTATTAATTTTTTAAGTAAGTCTGTTTCTTACGCAACTGTAAGTATGTGTTTTTACACATTGTATGTAATCGTTATAAAAAAGAATTATAAAACTAGGCATTAATATAATATATAAAAAACTAATTCAAGAGCTGAAAGTTTTTATTACAAACTTAAATATAATTTATTTTCAAATAAGCTTAAGTTTTGTCAAATAAGCTTATTTTTGGAACGTTGAATTTTATTATGTATTCTAAAGAAAATATTTACAGTTTTGTAGGACTAGTAATTCTACTCTAATACGGGTCATCACTTAAGTTTCACACGTGGATTTTAAAGAATTTGTCTATGAAATAGTTCCTTATTAGCAAAAGGATCAGAAAACTGATAAAGTTACAAAACATCATTCACGAGACTTATCTCGTATCTGTTATCAGAGAACGAATAATCAAGAAAACTAATGTCCAGATTATTACTGAATTTTACAATTTCTTGTGTAGTATGTTCCTTAAGTTTCTGTCTTGTATGAAAAGAGGTTTTACTGGAACAGTTCCAATTTGTATTAGAAGATAAAAATTGAAAGTTTCGACGAATCCATATGACTCATATCAGTTTGTTTATAGTAACAATTCTGAATTTACTTTATTAAAAAATTATAGAAAATTAATAAGTTTCCATGTATTTTTTTAAATAAGTTGACATTGTGAAAAACATTATAGTATGACATTTATCACTGAATACGATTTAAAAAAAAAATTTATGTCGAAAAAAATGTTTAGAAAAATATATTTTTCATCTTTAATTTTTAGGATTATTTTTACCTCTTAGGTATGAACAGTTATAGATGAAAAAAATGTTTGTCAAAGATTTTTCAAACAATTACCTCATAAACAAATTTCAGCGAAGTCAGCTTCTTATGACACATTATGTGATGGTCTTTGTTAAGCAAGCTTAGCTTAGAATATGCCTTTCTGTATTATTACTAAATTTGATTAAGTTGTATGTTCTTTAGTTATATATTTTTTCCGGATTGCATATGTTACTGTGACTCAAGTTAATATGTTATTCCGTCAATTTCCTACGTTTTTTTATTGACTCTGATGGAGTTAAGTCGAGCACAAACATAGGAAGGAACTACTGCATGTGCTAACTACTAATTCAATATAAAAATTGTCTTACCAATAGAATAATAATATTTGGCTAATAAATATAAATTCAAATATGAATCTATTTAGGCACTTTTTATTGATAGTTGACATATAATGTTCGATTTCATTAAAATAATTCGAATAATATTGCAACTAGATTTAGTTAAAATGAAGTTCTATTTAAATTCTATGTTGTTGGGAGAATTTAACCAAGCTACTGGAAAAATTTTGTAAAAATATAAAAAAGTAAGAAAATTTTTATGTTACATTAGTATATGATGCATAGTGTGCTTTCAATTACTGCGAAACATGAGATGAGTTTCATATAGTGTTATATCCTACATCTTACTACACAATTAGATGGCTTTCCATTTCAATTTTTAGACATGTTTTTTCTAAAAAGAGATTAATATCTTTTAAATTAAACATTATTTTTTAATTAATAATAAACTCAACTTTATAAAGTAGTTTTATTGATTGCATTAATGTTTATTTTAGTAGCATTTACAAAAAGAAATGTATTTCTTTAAAAAATCATGTAGAATGTAGAAGAAACAGGCCACTGAGCTGTTATTGACTTCATTCATTATATAAAACTTGGCAGCCCCTAAGTATAGCATATCTAATCGGGCAAAAGTGTATTTATACATAGAATGTATTTAAAATTAAGTTATTGCACTTTTAATTTAGATATCACATGTCCTTGTAAGACATTGCTAGATATATATTAATTCGAACATAAATTTTTATAAGCAATGCGCACAGTTATGAATGGAAGAATTATTAGGTGCTCTAAATTGTTTTTCTCCTGTATTGCATGTTAACAAAAAATAATGGGGCGACGACTCGTTTGGTTGCAGGAGCCTATTTCATAATTTTTACCTGGAGTATATGGACCCGTATGTGTTCCTACTCAATAGCATGTGTGAAACCACATTACATGTCCCACTACCGTCAGTTTTCGCACCAGGCTGATTATCTTTTTTTTACTCGCTTTGGTCCTTTGTTCCTTGCTTGTTTCAATAAATCAGTTACTTTTTTAAAAATGTAGAATTACGTATTAAATAGTTTGGCGAAAATAGTGTGACCAGTTCAAGCGTAATATTGGTAATACCAACATGTGATAGATTATTAACATTAATTGATGAAAATATTTAATATACATTTTACCAAGACACCAGCACAACTTACAAATTTGCATAACTAATATATTTTCATTACTTGTGTTTCTGTTTTATAGACAATATATTTTGTATCTACAAATCTCCTTTTTTAGTTCAGTCCTATTTATACGTTTACAATGTTGATTGATACTTGTAGGATAAATCTTTCTGATAGTACAGCATGAAAATATTTCATAAACTATGACTTGGCTTTTGCATGTACATTACAGTTAACAATTATATCATAATATTTACTTGAACTGGTTTGTTAAGGTTTGGGGTTTTTCCTTTATTTTACATTTGCTAATTTCTTTTATTATTAGGAAGTTTATTTCTCTCTGCTTGGTATATATGTACTTTAAATATTTCCTTGAGAAGAATTATATTTTAATATGTATGCAATTATTTCGAAATTTCAGAGGGAAATAAAGTTTCAGTATTGCTTTAATTTTTTCCTTAGTCATTAAATTTAAATAAATTTGTAACGAATACTTTTCTTCAGGTTTGCATCTAGAACAAGGATGAAAGTCGGCAGAGCGTTTAGCTTTAACAAAACTCCAAGCAAACTGAAAAGAGCAATGTCAACAATGATGTCACCATTCGGATCAACCAATAGCCTTACACCAGCAAGTCAACAACTTGCACAGATGCGACTTGCTAGTTGCAACAATATTAACGTTAGTTGATTGTTTATTATCGCATGTATTTTACTTTGCTTATGTTTTCTTTTAATTTCTCCTTGTTTACTTTCGTTTCACGACAGGAGATTGTTATCTCTTCAGTATTACTGTTTTAAATTAATTTCTCTATATCACTTTCATTTAAAATAATTAAAATTGCAATTGTCTATAGTTATATTAAAATGCTTGCTGCTTTTTTGTAGAATCCACTTAAATGCATGACTGCAAAACCATTTGTGTTTGTATTTAATATTATTTCCTTTTTATATAGATCTTGTCCAAGCAATATTATATAAATATCTGATATTGTATGCTTGCATACTTTCTAACATTCAAATGAATTAACACATTTCTTCTTTTGGTCATATAAAAACATCATGCAATGCTTTGAAACATTAATTTGTTGTGTACATACATATACATTATAATATATTATTCTTTCATGTTCATTTTAATACATTACTGAAATTTGTTATTTCGTGAGTTACATTGATTTATCCATAGTGTGTCTTTTTTTTTTTACCATATTTGTTCCGGTACCAAATTAATGGTAAAATTAATGTTTATGATGATACAATATTAATGAATAAGTTTTTATTCTCTACCACGTAAGTATACTGTAGCGCGTTATCTTATCGAATGAGTACTTATTTAATTATTTAGTGCGAATGATTCAAGGATACATCCTTTTAACGTCTTCTCTCGTGAACGGCAGTAGAGAGGAGGGCTAATAGAGTCCTACTTTTCATCAAATAAAATTCGTTTTAGGAATGTGACGTCACGCAGTGTTTCGACTGGATCAAAATACTTCGCGTCACAAATTAGATACAGAATTTTATATTTATCTTGTTAATGAATAAAGCTTATATCTTTAGAATGGATTCTACAAATGTTGGAAATGTATATTTTTACAAAATTAACATTTCTCTTATAGAGGCATTTATACCGACAGATCTTTTCGTTTTCCTTTTTTTTTAATTTTTGGTATGGCTTGTAGCTAAAAGCTGAATTCGGCTGGATCCAATTTTGTTGTTTTCTTATTTCCTTTTTTTGTAAAATATATTTGCACTGAGAAAAACGATGTGTACAAGCATTTTTTTTCATTACACCTACATTACTGCATGAGTTTTTAATTATTTTTCTTGTTTGTTTTTAACATAATCACATTTTAGTATTAAGTAAATGTTACTTGTGTGTTACAATTGTTTTGTTTTGTATAAGTGTGTGGTTTTCAATTGTTTCCGGTATTTTTCCAAAATTGTGTGCATATGATAGTAGCATAAATAGATATTCCTGTATCTTTCCAGGAGCTGGGTAATGGTGGTTCAGGCTCGCCATCTAGAGATGATGTTCTAGTAGCACCCATGTCGGTTCAGCCGACACGAAAGGCCAAATGCAGTTCCCTCAGTATGGCTTCGTTAAGAAGGTTGTAATTAGTATGTCAAAAGCAATTCAATTTTTCTTTCGCTACTATTACATAACCATATTTGGTCATCTTGCCCATTGTTAATGTGCCTTAACTTCTTTCATTTTGTGTTTATTCTTCTAAAACACAACAATTAAGAGGTCCATATACGTAAATATTTTTTGCATGTTGATATAGATATGTCAATGTGTAGATGCAGAAAATCATTTAACTTTGACAAATTATATAGACTGGATTGAAATTTCCAGTTAAATGTGCATTTAAAGCAATGTAAAGTTATTAGTAAATAGAATGTAAATGTGTTGCAGAAGTTTATTACTTCATTTTGGAAGACTTGAATGAAGATGTATGAATAATGTGTTGTAATTTATGTTATGGATTAAAATACTCATACTATCCAGGGAAAACCTGCTGTAACACGTCATGAAATATGCATAATTTGCATATGCAGTATTCACAGTTATTTACTTTTCATTATATGTAGTGGTTTTTGCTGGTATCAATGTTATGTGTATATCCATTTTGGTGAAAAAATTCATTTATATCATTGTTTGTAATTCATATTGTATCAATAGTTTACAATCGTTTTTTTCTGAGATTAAGGTTATTCACAAGTACCTAATATCATAGAAACAATACTAATAATGGTGCCTATTTAGTGTTTATAGTATTAATTAGGATGTCTTAATAACAACTAATTTAATGAGTAGCTTAACTAACGTGTATTTATTTAATTATATTAGGTTTTACCTTGTGCATTTTCATATAGTGACAAATTATAGAACATTCTTGCTTGCTATAGTTTTTTTTATGTAACGCAGTGCGATGTTTCTATTTATCATTTGCTGTCAGTACTTGTTTCATATATAAATTTCTTCACCAACTCGTTATATCTTATTTGGTAATCTTACTTAGTAGCTTCTGAATACTATGCAAAGTATGAAATTAGTTGAAATACATTTAATGTTTGTTCATAATAAGAGTTGGTGTAGTTGTCTGTATTCTATGTTTCCATAGTCTTTTTGACATTACTTTGTTTATCCTCCAGAAATTGTTCAGAGGAAGTCATGAAGGACAAATCCGATCTTTGAAGTACAGAGCATGAATAATGCGCAACTTTTTCTTTGACACCATTGAATTGTTTGTGTGAAAAAGTAGAGAGACTTCGAAAAATGATGGGAAGCTAATACGATGGGATTTTTATAATATGATAAAAGTGTTGGTCTTCGATATCCACGAAACTGTAAAACATCTGTGCAAAGGGCAGACAAAAGATAAAAAATATCTGCAAATTTCTATAAAAGAATTAAAATTTTCTACTTGCCTTGTGCTAACAGAACCACGTGTCTTTTATATGGAAAATGTACATTGCCAGTTATTCTTTAAGAAGCTACAGTTATATATATTAACGATGTACTGTATATAATACCGTATCAGTCGTTAAGTTTTGTATGTAATATTCAGATGATTCAAGCTCTTGTCTCAGGGAGTCGAATGGAATTGGATTTACAATAAGGGAAAGAATATTACATTTCCAGTGCCGTAATACACTCGCCTTTTATAAAAAGTGAAAGTTTGAATATACATTTTTGTGCCATTTTATGTCATTGCATAAGACTAAGGTACACTTAGAATTTATTGTGCCTGAAGATAATTCATGGTTTTGTGAAGTGAAAGAATGAAATGTCTAAGGTTAAGTTATTAAATTAACATTAATCATATATTTATTATTTAAACTTTGTAATATCCGTTATGTTTAATACCAATGCAGTTTTAATTCAGTAATGTAAACTGACTAGAAAATTGACTGTAGCTGCAGCCTCTTTATTATACTTATATTATTGAAAGTAATTCTACTTAGTTTTCAATTCTCTCAGCAAAATTGGTTGCAATAACATGTCACTGAAAATTGTAGCTCCGTTAAAAGCAAATACGAATTGAAGAACATTTCTTTCTTTCATAATATAATGGAAGTGCATAAGTATGACATCTTTTTGAATAGATGATTACAAGTAGTTAAAGGAGAGAAAAATTTGATTATAAACATGTAAATGTCAGTACTTGTTTCTTATAAATAATCATACAATATGATATAGTTGTAAAAAGCCATAGTTTATTAGCATTACATTATTTAAATTTGTTTAGGACTCCAATTATACGCTTATTGTAATTGCTGACTTTAAAGATATGTATACATTAAGATACATAGTTCGTCATTTAGATTACAAAATATTGTAATATCTATTTTTCAAGTGCATATATGTTTATATTTTGATTATATATGAAACTGTTACATTGATCTAACTGCTGGTATGAAATATTCGTAGAACCATTTATAAATTTTTTGGAATATATTAAACAGACATGCAATGTGTATTATGAATTTTTTTTAGCAACTTTCAAATTGTTGAGTATCGTGAACGTTTTGTGAAATTTATATAAAAATAGTACATTGGTATAAATGAACATCACTATTTTTTGTGTTATTTTGTTGATGTACCATTGTTTGATGTATCATTGTTTCTTCTCCAAAAACATATTACTATACATAGTTACAGTCTATCCATAGTACCCAAGAAATATTTGTAAATATTTCAGCTTAGTGAGAACAGTCAATAAAGGTCCATTAAAGTCTGTTAAACAAACATATCACAAAATTTGGAAGATAGAAATAGAAAGAGTATCATTACATAAAGTAATTTCTTTGTTAATTACAAGACGTCTACACAGTTTCTTCTTTCTGTTGTAAATACAATCTCTCAGAATGTGCTGGTGTTTCATACACTGAACATGATACATAAGTGATAACACTAATAATTGTAGTATGGTAATATTTCCTTACATTTTTTGTCCTTTTTTACGATAAAACTGAAAACTTAAGTACTTGAAATTTTCATAATTACTTCAGAAAAAAAACATTATTTTGCGAATGATGAAATAAAAAATATAAAACTATTTTTGCACAAATAACATTGTCAATTGTTGCACTTAATGATGGGTGATTAATCTTCTTGAACACATATATATAACAGATGTTAATTTCTTAAGGGAAATGAAAGCAATTTTTTATAAAATGTAAATGCCAAGTATATTTAAGAAGTCCTTGTAGATGTATCAATTAATTGTAATCTTTGCAATTTTCTACTTTTAATAGTATAAACAAAATAAGCAAAGGACGGTACAGAATAGAAGTAACATTCACGTTCAAATGAAAGAGCAATAAAAAATAATGTTTCATGTTGGAAGATTGCAAGGAAAACAGATGAAACTTTGTTAACTTTTTATAAGGACTGACTACCGAAGTGTCTTCATAAAGAAAGGACCACTACATACCAAATTCTTATAAACGTTTTGGCGCGAAATAAAAGAATTCACTGATGATAGTTTTGTAATTCATCATTCAGCACTTGAAGTAACTTGAAGAGCGTGTAATTATGGAGGCTCTGGCAGCACTTCGTATTTCGACTTATAGGTTTTTTTTTTTATTTTTTTTAACGGAAGGAAAACTAAAGGCGATACTGTCTTCGCTCGGGGCGGTGACGGCCTGTGCGGGATTTCACTACGCTAGCAACCCCCTGGTGGCCTTACGGGCTTGTGGGCTGGTCATGGGAACGCCGAAGCATACTTCCGCAACCAGCCCCGCCCATGTCCCTCCCTCAAAATGAAGGAGGGGCTCTTATCTGGGTTCGACTTTTAATTTAAGTTAAGGTAGCCGTCCACTCGAGAGTATCTCGCGCGAGTTGCCCTCGAGAGTAGTCGAGAGTACTGTCACGACATACAACAAACACACAGACAATTAACATACCGTTGAGCGATCCACTCGCGAGAAATACTCTTGAGGGTAACTCGCGACAGTCAATTCCGACAAGAAAAATTGGTGTGAAAACGAAATCAACAATATAATTATGATTTGATTTAATTTTGATTTAATTATGCTTAGTTCCAAACAAACTGCAAAACAGACGAGCAAGTGCGAATCTCTATTAGTTATTACGCACTATACCTGGTCCCACCAGAGTCTGTAACTGCTATCGGACGAGTTTTCGTTCGTTTCTGAGCAGGTTGTCTCTAATTGGCTGTATTTTCACGCCGCGTGCCCTCGACCGAAAAGTAAAACGCCAGCGAACCATTCAAATCGTGTATAACGGGTGACTAGTTTCTAAATCATTGACGACATGTAATCATGCAATAAACTCATGCTATGCATTCATATTAGTGTTTCACTGTTTATATGAATGCAGTGAATAGTATAGTGGAAGTGATGGCGCTGGCGGCGATTCCCAGTTCAGTCGTATGCGCGAAACAGTTACAGACTATAGTGGAACCAGGTATAGAGTCTATTTGGTGGGTACAATTCTGAGAGTTCTGTCAGACAGTAAGCTTGAGTAAGCTGTCGGCGAGCGTTCTAGCGAGTATCTGAGAGTAAAAAATTCGAAGCTACTTTCAAATGGGTATACAATGTGACAGTACTCTAGAGAGCAACTCGCGCCAGATATGTATACTCTCAAATGGACGGCTACCTTTAGATCTTTAAGAGTTCAATGCGTTCAATGTCATTTATCGTCTCATCGTACGATTTCTATGAATCGTTTTTTTTGTCTAGTCACAGACGAGGTATACGAGTAGATATTTCATCCAATGTATTTTTGCGACCCACTTTTCTGGGGTTACGTTACCCTATTTCCACTTTAGCGTCACTATCCACTGTAGATTTACCCAGATTTATTGTACTCACAACGTAGAGGTTACTAAAATCACAGGCTTTTTAAGGTGTCGGTACTACAGTTTAGGTGAGCCACCAACTTCCATAAGAAAAGGTCTCGTTACGTATTCATACTTCGTCGGTGGTCTACTAGTGGTCTAGCCGAAACACCATTTTCTAATATGGTATGTACCCTTGCGTGCAAACTCGGCTTCCGCTAAGGGAAAAAGTGGCGTAGGAAAACGGCCTCCTACCATGCTCCTAGATGTTGGTATTTGAAATTACTGAAATGTATGCCAAGTTAACATTCGATTTAACATTTATTTTCACTACCTGAAATAAATTTACCAAATGGTAGAAGACATTTCTTCTACGCCGCTTGTTCTCCTAGTGAAAGCCAACTTTGCTTGCGGGTGTACATATATAGACATATTCAAAGTAGACAGGTATGGCATAGAACCCCAAAAAGCTTTAATTTTTTAAAACATTTTTACCAGTATCAAAATTAATTATCATAACGATGCAATTAATTCAAAAAAATGATGTTTCATTTCGGAATCGTCATTGCTAGAAGATTGGTATATCTTTTCATGTCCATAAACTCATGATAGATATACCAATTTTTTTTTAGAAATTGTCACACTGAAATGTTAATGTCTTAATGTTTACAATGAGGGCACCGTTTAAATAATAATTTTGGACTCGTTGAGTTTTCCGACCGTGGTGTCTGGTGTATTTTTGGACAATATGGGGAAAATTCTATTTAGTTCAGAATACTGTATATATTGCCGATAAATACTATGTATCTACATAAGTGTAGTATAGCGCAGATAAATGTTTTTTACTACACGCGTAAGGGTATTGTAATACTTGTAATTTGCGTATAATCATTACTATTTATATGATACTGTAATTAGTGTAATTGGTTGTATAAATTTACTCCTTATTATGTAAACAGAAGACGAGTCTGTTTTTCTTCTTTTCCCTCAGATCTTTCACTGTCATAATGCCTTCAGTTTTGATTCTATGGAAAAATTATAATACATAATAATTGTATAGTAACAAGCAATACACATGCAGAGTGCGATAAAAGTTTGGCAATTTTTTTGTAGTGAAATATTTCTTATATAAATTAATGTTTTTGCAAGAATTTGTTACCGCTAAATTCGTTATTCAATTTTCTGTTCAACGGCATATATTGTACCACAGCCGACTCTAGTACTAGCCGTGCTGAACAACGTGGCAGCACCGCTCATGGAGGATTCGGCAGCAGTGATGCCAGAATCGTGGAACTTGGTTCCACCACCACGACGTCCCGGCGTCCCCCACTTTATTCCACAGTTTCTGCCAACAAGCATACTTTGCTTCTACTGTGTGAACTGCCCGTTCGGGTGTTCCGCCGACTACCTGCGTCACCTGCCAACGCAAACAATGAGGAAACCTTGGAGACCTTGTTCGAGAATCTGACTGGGCCGAAAATTCACGTTTCCGACGCGATGCCCGGCAACCTAAATGCGCGAACAACAGTCA